CTCTTATTAAATTATTTATCGCAATAATTTTTTATTTACTGCTTAAGTGTAACTCAAACACTATTTAGTATTGTCAAACATTCTCACCCACTTAGGTAAAGCGCATTAAAAGCTTACACATGTATTTCACCAAATTTTCTATTATATACACCACAAAAAAATACGTAATTGGCGATATAATAAAACTTTTCATTTTCCGCACAATCAAATTTAATTCATTTCTTTCTTTCAAAAAATTGAAATGAAATTTTTCTTTACACAATGCAATTAAAAAGAAATCACAGAATACACAAATAAAGTGGAGAAAAAAATAGCGTAAATTAAAAACTATTGGAATACATATAATATTTCATGGCAAAATTAAAAAGAAAAACAATATTGAGCAACACTTTAATTGAATGAAAATATTTGAAATATTTTGTTATTATTGAACCAACATATATAAAAGTTAATTAATGAAAAGTTGCAAAATCAACTGCAATATGGATTACAATTTTGATTAAAATATTTTTCTTTTTCTGGTTATGATGAAATATTTGATGTTAAAAAGAATATTTGAAAAAATAATATAATAGCAAATAGTAGAAAAAAAAATACTGAAGAAGAGTAATTGTAGTAGGTTGTAAAGCAATATAAATATAAACGCTGTGGTCGTAAAAAAGAACACCCTCCCCCCTCCCTTTCCGTTTGCTTTCAAGCCTATGACGTCGTTAAATTTTCTGACAATTGACACCTTTTGCTTGTTTAGAATCACAGACGGGTTATATATATATGTGTGAAATAGAAAAAAAAACCGCGACATTGGAGGTACGTTGTCGCCTCGACTTTTTTTTTCTTTTTTTATTTAAACGATTTATCGATTACAGCAAAAAAAAAGAGAGTGTGAAGGCACCCTCTTTTAAACATGAACTCTAATGACCTGTTATTTGAAGTATAATTATTTTCACTCTACCTCATTTTTTTCCATAATTCGTATTTTTTCCTATTTCGTAAAAAAATCTTAAAAACAAAAAATTTAAAAAAATTTTAAAAAATTAAAAAAAAACTTCTTTATAAGTTTTTATAAAATTTTTACAAATTTTAAAATTTCAGGCCTCAAATCGACTTTAAGGCACACAAAAAAGACGCTTTAGTCGATTAAAAATATTTAAAAAAAGCCGTTTATTTAATTTAATGTTGTCAGCAAATTTTATTTTGTATTTTCCTGTCCTTACACTGATTTCTAAAATCAATTATTCAAAAATTGAATAATTTTGATAAATAAATATTTATATACTTCTTATCTGTTTTTCCATGGGAAATAAAATTTTAACAATTTAAATTTCAAACCTTCTGAAATTTAGTAATTTTTAATAATTAAAAAACTATAACCCTTCCAAAATTCAATTATTTTCTATTTTTAAGTAAACTTCGTCTCTAAATTAATTGATTAATTACAACTATAACCCTTCCAAAATTAAATTACTTTCTATTTTTAAGTAAAACTTCGTTTCTAAATTAATTTGTTTTTAAAAATTTTCTGCAAGCTCTTCGAGAATTCAATTATTTAAATACAAAAATTCAATTTCTTATAATAATTGTACTTGTCAATGTTTTTTAAAAGTTATTAAAGTATAAAATTTTCTAAAAATTGTAATAAAAAAAATTCTTTAAATTAATTTTTTTAAAATATTTTTAAATAATTTTTTGAAAAATAATATTTTTTTAATTAAATACAATTGAAAAATTTCCAAATAATTGAAATTTAATAAAATCTTTCAAAAATAGTTTAAATTTGGTACCTATAATCTTCTAAAAATAATTGAATTTTAGAAAAATAATATACAAATAAATAATCAAATTATGAAGAATTTTAAATTTACTTGAATTTAAATTTTAAATTCAATTTCTAAACTAAAGTTTAATTATAAATATGAACATATTTCTCCTTACTTTTTAGAAGTCTAAACAAGTAAATTTAAAAAAAAATTAATTTACTTTCTTCTAAGATAATTGAATCTTACAAAATTATGATACATAAATAAAACACTTCTAAGAATATTAGTTTTTTAAGAAAAAATTTTATAATGTAATTTCTCGAAAATAATTGAATTTCTTAAAAGAATTTTTATATAAATTAAAGAAACCTAATTAATTTTTTAATAGATTTTAATTTAAAATTTTAACCATGATTGAAAATAATTGAATTTAAAAAAATTATAATGGGAAAATTTTAATAATTACTTTTTTCAAAAATATTTTAATATAATTTTTAGCAGCTAATTTTCATTAATTTTCATTTTTAAATTTACACTAAAAGATTTTTTATTAAAATTTATGAGAATTTTTAATTTTTTTCAAAATTTACAATTAAAATTTTTCAAAAGTTGACCTTCAAAAATTTTAATACAATAATTGAAAAAATAAATTATTTTCAATTAAAATTTGCATGATTTCAACTATTCAAATTTTCTTTAATTATATATTTTAAAAATTTAATTAGAAAAATTATTCAAAAATAACATTTGAAAGATTTGCCTGTAGTAATTTTTTGCACTATAAAAATTGAAATAAGTTGCATTATTTTATAGTAAAAATTAATAAATAATTTTTAATTATTTATAATTATAAATATTTGAAATATTTTGAAGGAAAGTCACAATTTTTGAAAATAAGTCAAAAATGTTAGAATATCCGAGGCGTGAATAAAATAAATCTTTTTGAAGAAAATAATAAAAAAAAAAAAATTCGCAAGTCAAAAAATATATCCTGTGATTGAAATATATAAGTATAAAGATTTTTCTTGACGACGCTTCTTGGACATTGAATAGAAAATTTATAGTTTCGCGAGAATTTTTCATCACTCGGAAGATAGAAAGTGGCAGTGATATAAACGACATAAGCCGAGAGAGAGGGAGAGAGAGATGCGACAGATTTCATTGGGCCAGAACAATGGGGAGGGGGGGGGGACTTGACGGTTTTGACGTTCGACGTCCGACGAACGTTGTCAGCGACGATAAAATTCTACTATTTCGCAGCATTTTGTTATTGAACCCGTGTATATGTATATAATATATACATATATATATATATATATATATTCGTGAACGTGACTGCGGTGCGGTTCCGTGAGGTATCGAATGATATGTTTGCTGACAGTATCAATTTCGAAACAACGTAACCGGATTCATATCAAAGCGTCATTCTATTGGCCAAATAACACACAAAGAGTGAGAGAGAGAGAGAATATTTCGATCTGTAAACCGTGTGATCCTGATGCAAATTCGTATATAATTCAATTCCCTTTAGTTTCCTAATTTTTTTGTCCCCTTTTAATAATAATTCACCTCATTAGAATAAAATCAAATTAGAAAAAAAGATATAAAATAATAAATAAAATAAATGGGGGATTTATATTTAAATTATAAAATTTATATGTATTTAAATTCTAATATTTATAAATTTAAATATAATAAATATTTTTTAATTCAGAAAATAAATAGTTATGGGGCATTCTCTGTAAAACGGACACCCCCCCTCTGCCCAAAATGAGTTTTTAAAAATAAAAGACCATTCTTTTTGAAAAATAAAAGCCTTTTTCAATTAAAATTTTTTTAAAAATAATATAGCGTAATAACTTCATTTTTAAATAAACATTTAATCATTATTATTTTTTCATATTAAAATTAAAATTTTCAAAAATTTCAAATTCAATAACTTATAAGAATATTTTTATAAAACATGAAGATATAATAATTAAAACTTGCTACTTCGTTACTGTAACTTCTTCAAAAACTATTTTCATCATTACGATTATTCATTTCTAGAATTCACAACTAAAATTCTTCTTTAGGTCAATTTTTTAAAAATTTCTTTGAGAATTATCAAATTCTTTTGTTTACAATTTAATTTTATGAAATTTCGATTATTCTGACATTCCTCAATTAAATGTACTAGAAATTAAAAATGTTAAATAATTTTTAAAAAGTTCCATTAAATTTTTTGAAAAAACATAATTCTACACAATTCTTAGTTAAAAGTATATAAAGTTCAAATTATCAAAGATTTTAATTTAAAAACTTTTGAAAATTCAATTATTTCTAAAAATTAATGCTATAATGCTTTCAATATTCAATTATTATCTAAAATTTTAACTGAAATTCATTTTTAAATAAATTTTTATTAGAAAATTCTACGGGAATTCAATTATTTAAAAACAAAAATAAACAATTTATTGAATAATTTAATGTATTTTAAAATTGAATTCTCATAAAAAATTTTAACAATAAATTTTTAAATAATTGAATTACGAATTTTAATAAAATTTTGAAGAATAATTACATTTTATGAGGAATTCGATTAACATTGTATTAAAAATAATTCAAATTGTGCGATGAGTATTATTATTTATGATAATAATTTAATCCCTAAAATAAATTTTTTTATTTATAAAAATAATTGAACACTGTAAAAAATGTTATTGTTTATGAAAATAATTGAATTATTGCGAAGAAATTTATAACAAATTTGTAAATCATTGAATTTCAGTGAAATTTTTATTATTAATGAAAATAATAAAATGTTTGCGTAGAATTTTATTAAATTTTCTTTTAAATAATGAAAACTTTTGCAGAGAATGTTATTAAAATTTTTAAAAATAATTGAATTTTGGAGAAGAATTTTATTATTTATAAAGATAATTGAAATTTGGACGAGAATTTCTAAAAAGTTTTGAACATAATTGAATTTCTGCGAATTTCATTATTTATAAAAATAATTGAATTATTACGAAGAACTTTATAACAAACTTTTTTAAGTAATTGAATTTCAGTGAAATTTTTATTTTTTATGAAAATAATTGAATTATTACGAAGAAATTTATAAAAAAAATTTAAATAATTGAATTTCATTGAAAGTTTTATTGTTTATAAAAATAATAAAATGTTTGTACTTATAGAATTTTATTAAATTTTCATTTAAATAATGGAAACTTTTGCAGAGAATATTATTAAAATTTTTGAAAATAATTTATTTGTTTATAACGCTATATTGTCTTAAAAAAATTTGTAATTAAAAAAGACCATACGGCAAGAGAAACTACATATCCCAAGTTATAATTTTTCAAAAAGAATCGTCTTTTATTTTTAAACCCATTTTGGGCAGAGGGTCGTGTTCGTTTTATAGAGAATGCTCCTTATATTTTTAAATTCCGAAAATAAATATTTATAAATATTTATCCTACTCAGAAAAATTTTTTCTAAACATTTCCATATTTCGCCAAGTACGAATTTTTTTTCTCATCACCAAAAAAATCATTCTTTCCAGAAATCCCATTTTTCCCCACCGTAATTCTTTCTAAAAATTGCAATTTTTTTTCCCCTTCGAATTTAATTCAGAATTAAATCTTTTTCAAGGGGTTAAAAAAAATTCTTTTTTATTTCATTCATTTTTCCCCCGAATTTAATTCAAATTAAATTTCTTTTTCAAGGGAGAGAAAATTTCGTTTTTTATTCAGAATCACACTATTCATGTGAAAAAAAAGTGGGATACAATATCATATCACATTCAGGATGATGGTTTTTGACCAAAAAAAAAAGAAAACCACTGTTCTGTGGTATTTCATTTTATATCTGGTGTAATTTTTTTCATTTTTAGAGGCGATCTGCTTTTTTCTCCCTTGTCACGTGTATAAAAAGATTTAAATCACAGAAAATTGGAAAATGATTCCATTATAGTAATTGAAATATACCAGTAAATAGAGGGCATAAATGAAAGTGCTATACGTATTTTAGGTTTTTGTGTAAAAATATTCTAAATTGAAATTCGCTCTGGTTGGGGTTCAAATTAAATATTAAAAAAAAAAAAATGATTTCTGGAAAGAAAGAAAAATTTCGTGACCTCCGATAGTCATGTGACTAGGTACAGTTTTTTTTCTCGAGAATTTCATTCTTTCGTGATTTTTTTTCATTCTCATACATTTTATCAGGCAATCGCATTTTAATAATTAGATTTTGCAAAGTCAACAACAGTTTTGTAAAAGATCTGAGTGATAGAATCAACACACAACACTGCGAGAACACCGTCACTCTCTTTTTTTTTTTATTTATATAGCACCGACGACATATCGATTGCATTTTTCTTTTTTTGGGTTTTTTCTTTTTTTTTTATATAGAGATAGCAAACTGTGACTGTCGACCACCGAAAAGTCGAACATGTCTCTATATCGAACATCAAAATGCGTGTGGGGGTGGGGGTAAAAGGGAGAGATATCGATTCGCAGAATGGTTATTGTCGAGTCGTCGTCATCATCATTATCATTATTATATAGTTTTTTTCTTTACCTTGAAAGTGTTCGATTTTGTTTTTCACTATCTACTTGGTCGTCCACCAATTACCGTTCAGCTCACCGATCATCGAAAGCCGGATTAAATTCCAGCCTTCAAGTTCTTTGTATCAAGTATCATTTGGTTTGTAGCCCAAATTTTTTCGTTGCAAAAAAAGATGAATTTCACGAAAACTCGGACGATTCATGTCGTTGCGTTGCCAACATTCGCACATTAAATCGTACATTTCCTTTGGACAATTTTTCGGCAGTGGCAGTAGTATCTGTAACAGATTAAAAAAAAAGGGAAAAATTTAAGATGACAAAAAATTTAATGGTTTAATCCTAGGGGAGAAATATTTGAATTTTAACCCAATCGTCCAAGTTGTTAATTTCTGCTTGGAACTTAGCAGGAAATTCATTTTTAAATCAATTTTTAATTTTTATTAAAAAATTCTACGAGAATTCAATTATTTAAATACAAAATTAAATAATTTATTGAATAATTAAATGTATTTTAAAATTTAATTCCCATAAAGAATTTTATCAACAAATTTTGAAATAATTGAATCCCTAAGAAAATTTTTATTATTTTTGAACAATATTTAATTTTTGCAAAGAATATTATTAATCTTGTAAATAATTGAATTTCTGCAAATAATTTGTAACTTTTCCAAAATTAAATTTTTTTTCGTGTTTCTAACTAAAATTTTTCTATAAATGCATTATATTTAATAATTTTTGAAAAAGTTCTTTGAGAATTTTCAAATTCATTTGTTTACAATTCAATTTTACAAAAGTTCAATTATTCGTAAATTCTTCAATTAAATATACATTAGAAAATAAAAACTTCAAATACTATAAAAGAAAATTCAATTAAACTTTTTCAAAATAATTAATTCCACAGAATGGTTAGTTAAAAATATAAAAAATTCAGATTTTCAAAGATTTTAACTTGAAACCTTTTCAAAATTCAATTATTTCTAAAAATTCGCACTCTAATGCTTTCAATATTCAATAATTATCTAAAATTTTAACTGAAATTCATTTTTAAATCAATTTTTATTAGAAAAATCTACGGGAATTCAATTATTTAAATACAAAAATAAATAATTTATTGAATAATTTTAATGTATTTTAAAATTGAATTCTCATAAAAAATTTTAACAATAAATTTTTAAATAATTGAATTACGAATTTTAATAAAATTTTGAAGAATAATTACATTTTATGAGGAATTCGATAACTATTGTATTAAAAATAATTCAAATTATGCGATGAGTATTATTATTTATGATAATAATTGAATTCCTAAAAAGAATTTTTTTATTTATAAAAATAATTGAACACTGAAAAAAATTTTATTGTTTATGAAAATAATTGAATTATTGCGAAGAAATTTATAACAAATTTGTAAATAATTGAATTTCAGTGAATTTCATTATTTATGAAAATAATTGAATTATTACGAAGAAATTTATAAAAATTTGTAAATAATTGAATTTCAGTGAAATTTTTATTATTTATGATAATAATAAAATGTTTGTACCTATAGAATTTTATTAAATATTCTTTTAAATAATGGAAATTTTTGCGGAGAATATTATTATAATTTTTGAAAATAATTGAATTTTGAAGAAAAATATTATTATTTATAAAGATAATTGAAATTTGGACGAGAATTTTTAAAAAGTTTTGAACATAATTGAATTTCTGCGAATTTCATTATTTATAAAAATAATTGAATTATTACGAAGAAATTTATAACAAATTTCTAAATAATTGAATTTCAGTGATATTTTATTATTTATGAAAATAATTGAATTATTACGAAGAAATTTATAAAAATTTTTAAATAATTAAATTTCATTGAAATTTTTATTATTTATAAAAATAATAAAATGTTCGTACCTACCTATAAAATTTTATTAAATTTTCTTTTAAATAATGGAAATTTTTGCAGAGAATATTATTAAAATTTTTAAAAATAATTGAATTTTGGGGAAAAATTTTGTTATTTATAAAGATAATTGAAATTTGGACGAAAATTTAAAAAATTTTTTGAACATAATTGAATATTTGCGAATTTCACTATTTATAAAAATAGTTTAATTATTACGAAGAAATTTATAAATAATTTGTAAATAATTGGATTTCAGATAAATTTTTATTATTTATAAAAATAATAAAATGTTTGCGTAGAATTTTATTCAATTCTCTTTTAAATAATTTAAAATTATAAATTAATATAATAATTAATAAATAAATAAATAATAAATAAATGGATTATTTTTAATAATTAATTAAGAACCTAAATTTTACAAAATTCAACTAATTTTAGAAGAATTTGAATTATTAACATTTTTTAAAAAATCTTAGTTCTTCTCATGAAATTTATTCAAAATTAAAATTTTATAAAATTTCATATTAATACCTTTCGAAGTTTATCTACATATTTATGAACATTGTAAAAGCAACTGTTTTAAATTTAATGAATTTTCAAATTGTTAAGTAAAATTATTCATTAAATAATTTACAAGTAATAAATTTATGATAGTTCTTCAAGAATTAAGATTTTAAAAAAGAAATTATTGTCAGAAATAGTAAAAATTGAAGGTTTTGTATTAGAATTCGTGTTAATTTCATAATTCATGAGTCAATCAAAAAAGACACCAAAATTCAGAATTTTTTTTACGAATTCTAAAAATTTAATTTCTTCCCAGTACTTTTGATAAAAATTTCTGACTTTTCCCTGATTTCTTTGACCAATTCTACTTTCCCTGACTTCCCTGACCTGTGGCAATCCTGATAAACTTACTGGGCAACCTTGTGGCAAGCTTAAATTACAATTTTCCTGCAAGCGTTGCAAGTTTTTAAAGTTTCCTGCAAACTTCCAGATTATTTGTACCAAAATACAGCACAAGATCTAAACTGAGTCCATTTTTGTTTCATTAAGTTAAAAATTTTATTTCAACCGTATTATTAATATTTATTATTGTACTATTATAGTTTTAGTATTATTACTATTCGAATTGTAAGGAAAGTTACAATTCGAATTACAACTTTGAAATTGCTTTCGAAATAGAGTTTTGATTACGTGTTAACAACTATTTTGAGTCATGGTAAAAAAATATACCCGAAAATCTTTTTTTCGAAACAGATAAAAAAATTGGTTTTTATTTTTTGTCATCTTTATGACATCTTGAATCCGAAAACTGTGAAATATTACGTTTCGATCCCGATGGTTTTAACGTTTACTCTTTTCCGGCTATAAAAAGTTTGTGGATGCGACATTATAGTTTTCCCTCTGTATATATATAGGTTGACATAAAAAAGCAATATAATGAAATGTGCACTCGACTTTCAATAATGCATCGTGGTTGAGCTTTGCAGATGTTAAAATTAATTATTATTTTCCTTTCGTTTATTAATTTCCACGCGAAAAATATCTTTTTTATGCAAACACCGCTTGGAAATATTGTCAAAAAAAAAAATATATATTTTTTATGTTTGAAATGCTACACTATCGGAATTGTGATTTTCTTCGGAATTTTTGATACGAGATTCTTCCTATTTATTTTTGGCTCGATTTTTGTCAACAATTTAAAATAAAAATTGCTTTATTTTTATAGTTATTGAGTTTAAATAGTTGAGGAAAAAACTTTTGAAGAAGTTGAAAGCTTATTTTCATAGAAAAATGAATTTCTTACCCGTTTCTGATCTTCTTGATAAAAATAAGTGGCGTTCTCGACTATCCGATTATCCGGATATTCCTCGAACGGTTGCTCCCTCGCAAAAGTAAGTATTTCCCAGAACGTGACAGCAAAGGCCCATACATCGCTTTTACACGTGTATTTTCCCTGAAACAAGTGCAAAAAAAAAAAAAAAAAAAAAAACGAAGCACAGATGTTAGAGTTGTATATGAAAACTACAGTTCTCCACTTTGACATTCCTTTTTCCGTTTCCCTCTCTCAAATACATTAATGAAAGCAAAAATAAAAATCCAAACGAAAGAATTAAAAAGAATTTATCTTTTCTACTTTATTTTTCACTCTTTTTCACATAAAGATAATAAAGATATAAACATCTCTAGAGAATAAAAAAACTTTATCGAAATAAAATTTACAAATTTACATTATACCAGATATGGAAACAAAAAAAAAAGTGAATAATTGTTGCGACACAGTGAAATATTGACTTTTCTTTTTTTTAACGACTCATTTTTTGTAACGTTTGATCTTATTCCGTTATAAAAACCCAACAGTTTGTCCCTTTCAGCAACATAAAAAAAATAGTGTGTAATAAAAACGTACACCTCTTTGTAATTCATGTCGAATAAATTTTTTTACATAATATTTACTATGGAATATATTTTTATTTTTCTGCTTTCATTTAGAGAAGTTTTTGCAAAAAAAAAAAAAAAAAATTTCCTCCAGGGGGACCAATTGCCAACTAAATAGGGGTTCACTTCCTTTGACGTTTTACCTGTTTGTTAGTAGATCTGTACAATTCGAAAAACAAAACTGAAAAAAAAATAGAAAATAAAACGTATTCAACAATCAGTGCAGTTATGTTGAAAAAAGCTCCAAATATGCTTTAATTGTGTCTTGTTGCAGACATTTCGCGTTAATTGGAAACTGTTTTACGATTCGGAAAATACGTTTCATCGTTACTGTTTTAAGAGAGAGAAAAAGTGAGAGAGAGAGAGAGAGAGAGAGAGAGAGAGAGAGAGAGAGAGAGAGAGAGAGAGAGAGAGAGAGTGAAAGAATTAGCCAGTGGGTGCTGGTTTCAATTTTAAAAATCATTTGAAATATGTTGACAGAAATTGTTTCATATTACACAATTGAATTAATAATAGCGATTGTGATAAGTACGATTCGTGTCAAATTTTGAAATTTATAATTATCGATTTTCTTTTATTATTATAATGAAAATTATGATTTTTTGTGACGATATATCTTACCATGAGCATTGACTCCCATGCCATCCATCGAATTGGAAGTGGGGGGCGGCCTTCGACCTTAAAATAATCAGCAAGATAGGCAGTTCTTCCTGTTCCCAGGTCGGAAATTTTTATCGAATAGCCTCTGTTTACTAGACAATTTCTGCAACATGTACAAAATGTTCCTTTTTATTTTTTTTAATAATATATTTACATCTCAGATTTATAATTATTTATTTATTTTTTTTATTTATTTATAATTATTATTAAAATTTATATTTATATTTATAATTAATAATAATCAATTATAACTAGTCCCCAGTTTGAAGTTAATTTTTGTGGAATCTGGACAGAAAGTCCAAACCAAAAATCCAAAGTAAATGAAATCCAAAAAAGTAAAAAAAAAAATAGTTTTATTTTCGAATTATTTTTTGGATTTTTTGTCCTGGTCGAAAATTCCAAAGAAATTAAAAATCTAATAAAAAAAAAATTAAGATCTAAAACTTTAAATGGTTGTTTTAAATGAAATTGTCCTTTTTTCGAATTGTTATAAAAAATAGAAAATTGTTAATTGTTAAAAAATTATTATTATTAAGAAATAGGAAATGAATACCCATTTTATGCATAATTTCAATTACAAATTTAAATTGTATACTAAAAATAATTAAATTCTTATATAAAATTTTATTAACATTCATTAAAAATAATTGAATCTCGTGCGAAGAATTCTATTAGTTTTTTTAAAATAATTGAATTGTTTTCAAGAATTTTATTAGAGTTGAATTTCTTTTTTAAATTTTGAATGTGAAATTATTTCGAAAATCAGTCAGGTGGATGAACAAAAAAAAAAATAAAAATACCAAACAAAAAATGAAAATTAATAACAAAAGAGCCCAATAAAAAAATTTTGCGTGTTAATAATAAATTTTTAAAATCGAATTAAACAGTAAAATGCGAATAAATTATTCATAAAGGGAAAATCCGTGCGTTTAGAGCGGGGCTAAAGTCAAAGGTTGGTTCATTAGAACAGTTTATTGTTTTATCTCCATTCACCCTTTTGGCTCTAACGCAACCCGATAGCCAATATGGGCCCTGCGCTTTGTCGTTTAATGGGGGCACGAGTTCGAAATATTAACTCTAATCATAAAGCTTAATTATAATACCCTCCGGTGTATTGCTACATTAATGTCAAGCTGAAAATTAATTGTCGTGATTTATAGAAACGAATTTTGGGGTCAGTGCGTTGGCCTCTGTTGCACAAATAACTTTCCCTTAAACCTGTATAATGTTTAAATATAGGTGAATTTTCGAAAAATTTAAAAATTAATCAGTATCATTATTTCAAATTTTTATTACATTCTCATCAAAATTAAGAGTCTGAATTAGGGAGAGAATAATATTTTAATTCTTGATTTCTATTTAATTATTCGAATTTCCTTGCAAAGCAAAGGAGGTTCAATTCTATTGTTAAATATATTCTCTAACTGGGGTAATTTAGTACTCGGGTCGAAATTCAAACTATTTTATTTTTTCTAGAAATTTTTTTTTTGTTTTTTCAATTTTTAAACCACATTTTACTTCAATAATTCAAATTTAATTAAATTTTTAAAGAGTTGCATCTACAATTTTTACAATTAGATGAACTTCAAAAAGTTTTAATTTGAAATTTTTAAAAGTTTCAATTTTTAATTAATTTAATTAGAAATCTTTAGGAACTTAGGTTTTTGAAAAATTTTAATACATAATTCACATTCTTCTGAAGTTAGTTAAATTTGTCAATTCGCAGAAATTAAAATAATCATTTTCAATGTAATTTTAATAAAATTTCTCAAAAGATTTCAATTATTTTTATAAAATTTACATTTTTGTTATTAATTCTCATTTTTGTTTGGTATTTTTTTTTTGTTCATCCACCTGACTGAGTTTTGAAATAATTTCACATTCAAAATTTAAAAAAAAAATTTAACTCTAATAAAATTCTTCAAAACAATTGAATTATCTTCAAAAAACTAATAGAATTCTTCGCACGAGATTCAATTATTTTAAATGAATGTTAATAAAATTTTATATAAGAATTTAATTACTTATAGTATACAATTTAAATTAAATTCAAAATTCATAGAAAAAATTTGCAAGAATTAAATTATTTTCATACATTTAACAGAATTCTTTGCAGAAATTCAATTATTTTCAAAGTAATTTTAATGAAATTTCTCAAAAGATTTCAATTATTTTCACAAAATTTACATAAAATTTTTCAAAACAATTCAATTAATTTGAAAAAACTAATAGAATTTTTCGCACGAGATTCAATTATTTTTAATAAATTTTCATAAAATTTTATATAAGAATTGAATTATTTTCAATACAATTTTAATTAAATTCATAGAAAAAATTTGCAAGGATTCAATTATTTTTATATATTTAATAGAAAGATTTCAATTATTTTTAAAATTGTTTAAATTTTTTATAAGAATTCAATTATTTTCACAAATTTTACATAAAATTCTTCAACTTTAATAAAATATTTCAAAGCAATTCAATTATTTTCAAAAAACTAATAAAATTCTTCGCAGAAGATTTAATTATTTCTAATCAATATTAATGAAATTTTAGATAAGAATTGAATTATTTTTAATTCGATTTTAAATTAATTCGTAGAAAAAAATTGGCAAGGATTCAATTATTTTCATACATGTAATATCATGTTTAAAAAAATTCAAAAAGTTACAAAAATTCCAAACAGTACGTAATATAACAATTATGTGATATGATATGAATTTTCTAAAAAATAATTTTAGAATTCTACATAAAACATGACATTAAAATAAATAAAATTCTTTTTTTCGTATAGAAAATAAATTTAAAAAAAACAAAATTTAGAATTAATATTATTTTAATTGAAAATTTTTAAAAAATTCTTTACAACTATTCAATTATTTTCATGAATAATAAAATTCATTGCAGAATTTCAATTTTTTTTAATACAATTTTACAGGTACTGCTCAAAAATAGTAATTATTTTTAAAAATTTAATTTCAATTGCTCGAAAAAATCAATTACTTAAAAAAATGTTTTTTTAAAGTCTATAGAAGAATTCAATTTTTTACATAAATAATTCTTCGAAAGAATTCAATTATGTCGATAAATAACGACATTATTTTGAGGAATATTAATAAAATTCATTGCAAAATTCAATTATTTTCATTAATAACAATATTCATAACAAGAATTCAATTTTTTTTAAAGCAATCAATTTTTTCTTGAAAATTCAATTATTTTTAAAAATTCTAATAAAATCGTTCCCAAGAATTCAATTATTTTCATAAATAATAATAATGCTTTTTATGAATTTAACTATTTTCAAAAAAATTTAATAAAATGCCACACAGACATTAAATTATTCTCAAAAATTTTTATATAATTCTTTGTATTTAATTATTTTTCGCAATTAAATGATTTTCAATATCTACTATTTTTATAAAATTTCCAAACAAAATTCAATTATTTAAAAAATTGGTTGTAAAAATCTTTGTAAAAATTAAATTATTTTTCATGAATAATAACAATTTCCAAGGAATTGAATTTTTAATGAGAATTTGCATAAAATTAGTCGAAAGAAATCAATTATTTAAAAATTTTTATAAAATGTCATGTTTTATGCCATGTTGCTGCAATTTTTTTGCAGAATTGTAATCTTGAGTATTAGTCAATTATTTATTATATCTTTCAGTATAGTAATGTTACTGCAATATTGTCTCAATATTTAAACATTAATGCAATGTTCCTGCAGTATTGGAGAAGAAAAATCAGTACATTGATATGACGATGATTTGAACCGTATTTTTGAGTATATTTTCACCACTGTGAGAGGGGGAATAAGAGAAAAATATTGGGTGCTAAAAGGAGAAAAATTATATGGTCCATGAGCAGAATAAAAAAAATGTAAAGAAAAAAGTACCTCGTTGCAAGATCACGATGCACAAAGTCCATTTCTTCCAGATACTTCATACCAGATGCTATTTGCACAGCCATGTACACCAGTGTGCCAAAGCTGAAATAGAAATCAAAAGGCAACGTTAGTTGATGCTATTGCCGTTGCATATATATGTAACAGACGAAAGACAACATTCAGCAAGCGGAAGTCGTTCGCGTTTGTGACTCTGTAAAATCACAGCATCGAACTACCACCAGCAAGCAGTAGTCTGAAATCGTCAAAGTAACCGTAAAATGAGCTTCCACCGGGTAATATTTGCGCTTGCAATGCAGACACAGGACATAGTGTACAGCAAAAGGTTTTTGCACCTCACAACGTCTCGGGGCTAGAAAAATTTTATGCCCAAGCTGCTGCTACTACTACTACCACTACTACCACCCCTAGCCTCGTTACAGCCTGATGGATCGCGAATTACACTTCATTTACGCGCGCGGTCGTTCGCTCACTCGCTCTCGCATGCTCCAATGGCAAAAATGGTCGCTTGATTGAAAACTCGTCGCAAAAATTTCAATATTCTCTAATCTTCTTTTACTCCTTTCCTTTCATATTCGACTTCGTGTATATATATATTTTTTTTCAATGTCGACGCATTCGAAGCGGAAGAAAATAAAATAATTTTCACTTTTTCTTTTTTGTTACTATATTTCTCCTTTCGGCGAAATGTTCTTTAGAATATATAATTTACTTTTTTTTTTATTGAAATCCTCAAAAGCTTTGTGTTAATAAATTATTTCACACGCATTTATGTTTATAAAATCCTTCAACTGTGAATACATTTGAAAAAAAAGATTACTCCACATTTCAGACATTTCTCTGTTTTAATAAACTTTCAGGAAAAAAAATTCCATAACTTGAAATTAATTTTTTTTTCCTCGAATTGGAAAAATAGCGGAAATCTGACGAAATAATTGATTTAAAGAATTTGATTCGTTAGTTAAAATTTTTCAAATGTTTGAAAATTTTTAATTTTTCAAATCAAAAATTTAAAAACTTTGAAATTAAAATTTTTGAATTTTTGTATTGTAAAATTAAGTATAAGAAATTTTTTACTCTTTTGAACAATTAAAAGGGGAAAAAATTGTTTTCACGACAATTTGAATTAACAGAATGTCAATTTAAATTTATTGCCCAGAAATCTGAACATTTGATATGGCCTCGGTGACTGACGTGCCTTAATGCGTTGCGTCACGCTTGGCCAAATTATTGTTGTGTGACGTGACCACATGTGCGATTCATGCAAACATCGATTATTACATCTGATTGACTAACGATTTTTCGTTTACATTCTTGAATAATAAAATACAGTGAAACAACAAATAATTTATGGTTAAGTAGAAGATAAAATTCAGTAAACAAAAATTAAATTATACAAAGATAGAAATAAAATAAACAAAAATAGAAATAAAATACAGTAAGCAAAAAATAAAATACATTTAATCAAAATTAATGTACTTTTATTTCTTTAACCCTTTTGATTTTGTTGATAAACTATTGTTCTTAGGGTTGCTGCTTACAATTTTAGAATTGGAGCGCGTTCACGTAACTTTCACTTTCAATTTCACTAAAAAAATTTTCAATTTCACCCAAAAATATTATTTTCAAAAAAAAAAATTTATACTTTTAATTTCACCTAAAAAATTTTCACTTTTAAATTCCACCAAAAAAATTTTTACTTTCAATTTTACAAAAAAAATTTCACTTCAAATTACACCTAAAATATTTTCACTTTTAATCGAAAAATTTTCACCTCCATTCAAAAAATTCTCTTTTTCAATTTTTACAGTTTTTAATTGAAAGTGAAAATATTTTTTTGGTAAATTTTAAAGTCAAAATATTTTTGATGAAATTTAAAGTAAAAATTTATTGGCAAAATTGAAATTAAGAAACTTTTTTAAAAGTGAAAATTTTTTAGTAGAGATTGTAAGTGAAATTTTTTTTTAAAAAGTAAAAATATTTTGAGTGAAATTGAAAATGAAAACTTTTTAATTGACAGTAGGAGAGAAAAAAAAATTTTTTTTTGTGAGAATTCAATTATTTAAATACCTACAAAAATAAATAAATTATTGAACAATTTAATGTTTCTTAAAATTGAATTCTCATAAAGAATTTTATCAGCAAATTTTTAAATAATTAAATTCTTCAGACGAATTTTAATAAACTTTTTAACAATAATTATATTTTTTGAGGGAAAATATTTTGCATGAAATTCAAAGTGAAAATATATTTTTGATGAAATTGAAAGTGAAAATATTTTTTGTTAAATTTAAAGTCAAAATATTTTGTATGAAATAGAAAGTGAAAATTTGTTGCAAAATTAAAATTAAGAAATTTTTTTAAAATTGAAAATTCTTTGGGTGAAATTGTAAGGGAAAATTTTTTAATAGCAAGTGAAAATATTTTGGGTAAAATTGAAAATTTTTTAATTAACAGTAAAAGAGAAGATTTTTTTTGTGAAAGTGAAAATATTTTGTGTGAAATTTAAAATTTTTTGTGTTAAAGTGAAAATTTTCTGAGTGAAAGTGAAAATTTTTGGCGGAAAATAAAAATATTTTAGGTAAAATAGAAAGTAAAAAGTTTTTGATTGAAAGTGAAATTTTTTTTTGTTAAATTTAAAAATATTTTGGGTGAAATTGAAAGTAAACATTTTTTGGCAATATTGGAATTAAGAAATTTTTTTAGAAGTAAAAATTCTTTGGGTGAAATTGTGAGTGAAATTTTTTTTACAGAAACTGAAAATATTTTGTGTGAAAGTGAAAATTTTTAGATCGAAAATGAGAATGTTTTGAGTGGAAGTGAAAATTTTTTAAGTTGAAATGAATATTTTCTGAGTGAAAGTGAAAATTTTTTTTTCGTGAATTTGAAAGTGAAAATTTTTTGAGTGTAAGTGAAAGTTTACGTGAACGCACCGATATTCGAAATTCAAAATGGCGGATCCAATATGGCGGACGAGTTTTCAAAAAGTGGACGGATTGGCTTAAAAGTTGCTACTCGGGGGGTTTTCGGAGTAACTAATTACGAACATGGAATCAGATTTCAAAAATTCAAAATGGCGGATCCAATATGGCGGACGAGTTTTTCAAAAATTGCTTGGATTGGCTTAAAAGTTGCTACTCGGGGGTTTTTTGGGTCGCTGATTACGAATATTGAATCAGATTTCAAATATTCAAAATGGCAGATCCAATATGGAGGAAATAATTAAATACGACCTTGCAAAAAAAATAACTATACTGTAAAGCATGCATTTTTATGAAACTGATGAAAACTATCCAAATCGCGAAATGCAAAATTAAATAAAATTTTAAATTAAATAAAAAAAAACATTTTTATAAAATTTTTTCTAAAAAGTTAAGGAATAAATAAATTGTGTAACCTTAAGGTCTTAGCAGTGTGCATTGTTGACGTCTCGGCAATGTGATTTTGCAGGTACTGATTCAAATCTCCGTATTCGCCGTTTTCCAATACGATACACATTGGATCGTTTTCTAGACTGGCACCGAGTAGTCGTGCGACATTCCAATCGATGAGTCGTGCCAGTCTTTTTGCCTCCTGCTGAAATTCCAACCTGAAATTCGTATAAAATGTGCTGAAAAATATTAGATTTTTATAAGCAAGTCTGCTTTTGCAAATTGAGTATATCTCATCTATTTCCTTTGACACACGAGGAATGTAGTAAAAAGAAGAAAAAAAAAACTCAACACAACATTTTTTTTTCTATTTCTATTCGATAGCTTATTGAAAGGTTAATAAAAGACATCACCCTCCCTGTTTTTTCTAAAAATAAATTTTTCTTTTCAATAAATAGAATAGAAATAAATAAATAGAACAAAAAATATTGAATAGTGTTCACTGTAGAATATATTTTCTCTTGAAAGTAAACTATAATAGAAAAGAATCCCTTGAGAGTAAATAGAAAATAAAAAGATTTTTGGTATAAATGTAAAAAAAATGTTTCTTGAAAATTATAATAATATTAAGAAAAATTGATTCATTTGTTCTTTTTTATGGATTGGAAAAATAGCCGCTCTCTTTTTAAACTTAAAGGCTACGGTAGGAAAACAAAAGCCTGTAAACAGCAATCTTTTTTGTGAATCAAAGCTTTCTATCAAGTAAACAATGTTTGAATCGAAAGAGGCTCGTCGAAAGGAGTTTAGTTCTGGTAGCTATAGTTTCCATCGTTGTAAAAGTTTGCCCTAGAGGCGAGTAAAGTTGCATTGTTGAGGAAATAGTCGGCAGTCAGCTGAAAGTGCATTGTGCATCATGTACGATAAAATCGATGGAATCAAAAAGAAAAAAAAGGAATTTACTATCAATGACATGTCACATTTATCTAGTCATACTTGTATCTTCTTTCATATCTCTCTCATTCTTTGAAGTAGTATCATCGTTTACATCTATTATTCACATATAAGAGAGCTAAATTTCTCCACTATTCTTCATTCAAAACTTTTGCCAATTTAAGAACTATTCATTTCTTCTCTCTTTTGAATTAGTAAATTTTACTAGTAATTTCTACTAATTTAGTGACTGACTTTTTGATTTTTAATTAGTAAATTTTACTAAATTTTTAAAAATAATTTATTAGTAAAATTTACTAATAAATAATATTAATTACTAATAAATAGTAAATTTTATTAATAAATAATTATTTAATTAATAATTTATTAGTAAAATTTACTAATTCAAAAGTAAAAAGTCAGTCACTAATTCAAATTAGTAAACATTTTTACTAATTCAAATTTAGAGTTGTTAGATAAGAAGATAAAGAAATTTGGAAATTGTAACCAAATTAAATACATTTTGTTCTAATAATTCTTCGGTAATTTTAAATTTAAATTTTAATTTGGTTTTTACTGTTAAAAATAAAAAACTAAAATTGTTTTCTACTTTAAAAAAAAATGCAATTTCAGCTGACTTTGTTTCCTTAAAAACAATGATGGGAGAAGGGAATGGAAACTAAAATTAGCTGCGATAAATAATTGAAAAATAAAATTTACAAAATATTAAATTGACAAACCTTAAAGGTTCCGAGGAACCAGGTCGAAGTGATTTGACAATCACGAGATCACTGTACGTGGGTCGGAAAATTTTCTCCGAACCGGGAAATCTGTCAACTTCGCAAATATGAATGTCCCCAAAGGCACCCGTTCCAAGATTCTCAACAATATTGAGCTTTTCTCTGGGAAAATCGAAAATTGGATCCTCGTCCTCTTCATCAGTTAGCATGTCCTCTGGACTGTAACTGTTTAAACTACTGGAAGCCTTGACACTCATTGCTACTGGTGTACTTGGATTCGGCGAAGGTGGTAGAGGTGGCAACGGACTCTAAACATAATTAAAAATAAATAAAACATAAATAAAATAAATAAATTAAAAGTTTTATTATTTTAATTTGTTTTTTAAAAATGTCTTTTTATTTCAATTTTTATAGATATTTATACTGATCTCTAAATTTTAATTTGTTAAAAATAATTAATTTGATATTAAAAAATCAGTCACTAATTCAAATATAGTATGTAAATAAATTTTAAAAAATTATCGAATTAATAGAAATTTTGTGAAATTCAACTGAAAATAATTAAATTTGTTAAAGTATTTCATTAAAAACTTTTTAACAAATCGAATTTTCAAAGTATTTTAATTTAATAAATTGATAAATAATTTAATTTTATAAAGAGTCACATTCTAATGTATTCATGTTTCTAAGTGCGAAGATTAATAATTAAAATTTTTATTAGTTAATTTAAAAAAAAAACACTTAAAATTTTTAATAAAATTGAATTTTCGCAAAGTTTTTTTTAAAAATTCTGAAAAATAACATTTTTGAAATTTTTCAATTATGTTGTTTCAAGATAATTGAATTTTTATAAACAAATATTTGAAAATTTTTGAAATAATTGAAATTTCTTTACATTCTATTAAAAATAATTGAATTTTTTTAAAGAATTTTATTTAAATTTTTCGAAAATAATCAAGGGAAGTTAGTCACCGTAATTATAATTTTATTTTTAAATTATAAAAGTCTCTCTTAAAGTTTTAAATCAATTTTTTGCTTCTAAAAATTATATATTCTGATTGTTCAAATAAATAATATTTATTTATTTTTTAAGCAAATTAAATTTTTATTACTTATTAAGTACATAATTAATTATAATTACTGTTTATTATTTTCAAAAATTTTAATAAAATTCTTCGCGAGAATTCAATTATTTTCGTAAATAATAAGTTGTTTGGATGACTTCAATTACTTTTATAAATAGTAAAATTTGTTGCAAAAATTTAATTATTTTTACACAAAATTTTAATAACATTTCACGAACAAATACAATTATTTTCTAAAATTTTAATAAATCCTTCAAAACAATTCAATTATTTTTTTTAAATAGCAGGCCTGTTAAATAGTAAAATCTTTGCAAAAATTCAATTATTTTCAAGAAAATTTCACTAAAGAATTAAATTTTGTTTTTAATTCGTCATAAAATATTACAAAAGAATTCAAATTCTTTGCAAAAATTCAATTATGTTCAATAGGTACAATTTTAATAAAATTTCATAAAAGAATTTAATATTAAAAAAATTTCTAATAATATTTTTCAAAAAAATTCAATTATTTTATAAATTTTTAATAAAATTTTCAATTATAATTATAAAGAGACAAGATTATTTAAAAAAATTGAAAAAATTATTTGTTTAATTCAATTATTTTCGAAGTTTTTAATTAAAATTATTAAAAAAACATTATTTTTAAAAAATTTAAAGAAACTCCTCTAAAGAATATAATTATTAATAAAAAGTCTAAAAAAATTTTTGAAGCTATTTATAGATTTATTTATGTTCAAAATCAAATAAATTTAATATGATGAAAAAAACGGGAAAAATTAGGATAAAGCCGGAAAAAACCGGGAATTTTGTTGAACGAAAATAGTAGACACTATGCTTACCGTTTTATAGGCAAAATTCATAATTTTTTTATTTCTTAAAACTAAGGACTCTAATTTTAACGGATTCTACTATTGATGTAGCACTATAGGTAAAAATTACTTTAGTATCTTCTGCAAAAAATGTATTTATTCTAAGAAACATAGAAAAAATACGCCTGGGTGTAAAGCACCCACGAATGGTAAGTAAGAATTATATTGAAATAGAAAAAATTTTTCTATAAAAAATTGAAGAGTAAAATTACTAAAGAATTTTTGTTTAGTCGATGAAAAAATATTCCTGGGTGTAAAGCACCCATAAACAAAACCATAGAATGAACAGAATTTTTTTTTCTATAAAAAAATGAAGAGTAAAATTACTAAACTATTTTTTTTAGTCGAAGAAAAAATACGCCTGGGTGTAAAGAACCCATGAGTAGTAAGCAAGGGTCCAAAGTAAAATGAACAAAACTTTTCTATAAAAAATTGAAGAGTAAAATTACAATATATTTTTTTAGTCGAAGAAAAAATACGCCTGGGTGTAAAGCACCCAGGCGTATGGGTGTTTTACACCCAGGCGTACTTTTAACTTAGAGGTTAAATTAAAATAAAATTTTTTCTATAAAAAATTGAAGAGTAAAATTACAATATATTTTTTTTTTAGACTTAGAAAAAATACGCCTGGGTGTAAAGCACCCATGAGTGGTAACTCATGGGTGCTTTACACTCAGGCGTATTTTTATCGTAGGGGTTAAATTAAAAATAAAATTTTTTGTATAAAAAAATAAAGAGTAAAATTACTGGAGTATTTCGTTTAGTCGAAGAAAAAATACACCTGGGTGTAAAGCACCCATGAGTAGTAAGTAGGGGTTAAATTAAAATGAAATTTTTTCTACAAAAAAATAAGGACTAAAATTACTAGAGTATTTTTTTTTACTCACCTTGCATATCTCCGTGCTGGCATAATACTTCTCAGGTGGCGGTGGAATGGGAGGAGGGTTAGACGAATATTCCTCAACCGGCGGAATTGGTCTGCCAAGATTCATCGTCGTGTTAAGCAAGAGTGGAATATTTTGCACCTCGCTAATTCCTATAAAACAAAAATGTTTTTCTTACAAGAAAATTGTTCAAAAAAATTGTTCTTAAAAAAAAAATTGTTCTTAAAAAAAAATTGTTCTAAAAAAAATTTGCTCTAGAAAAAATTTGTTCTAGAAAAAAATTGTTCTAGAAAAAAGTTGTTCTAGAAAAAAATTGTTCTAGAAAATATTTGCTCTAGAAAAAAATTATTCAATAAAAAAAAAATTGTTCTAAAAGAAAAATTCCAGCATCAGTTAATAATTTGACAGAATTGTTGTTTAAAACTCAATTCCATTAAATGCGTCGGAAACAATTGTTTCCATTTTCGACTAAGATTAAAATAACAATCCTCACGTGTAATATAAATCTGCTGCAGATCTAAATGTTCCCATGTTTTCAGTATGTACACACGGACTTTTGCCAGAGATCAGGAATTATCAGTTTAATGGATTTCCGTTGTTCCATTCGAGTTCGCGGAGAGGGAATATAATTTATTCATGAACAAATATCAAGCTAAAAAGTTTTAAATCCTTCAGCGCATTAATGTATATATACAGTTTCATAGATATGTAATAAATGGAAATTTTTCAAACCAATTGAATAATTAATATTGCGGGACAATTTTATTTCAAGTATTTCTTTTATGTTAGCCAATTTTTTTTTTTTTTTGCGAAAGAAAATAAAAAAAAATATAGTTTTAAATAATAGAAAAAAATAATTTTGAAATGTTGATAAATTGATTTTTTTGATGTTTACAATGAAAATCGACCTTGATTAAATAATTTAATGACTGATGAAAATTAATAGTCGGATTTCCTGAGAGGACTTACAGTTTGGTATTACAATTTCAACCCCGGCTATCCAAAGGTAAACTTAGTCCTTAAAGTTTCTCTAGTACAAAACCATCCATGATGATACCGCATCACGAGAGAAGAGCCAAGAAGGATGAAGCTTCTAACAAGTTTTGATGTTATACTAGGACACGTAAGATCCCTAATAATAAAAGGATATCAACTAAAAGCTTTCAAAATATTAAATAAACCAAATTTCAGAAATTAGTTTTAATTTACGTATATTTTAAAATAATAAACGACCGCATACAAAGTTTCTGAATTATTTCAAAATTATTAAATTAGAGTAATTATTAAAAAGTTTTGAAAATAATATAGAAATAATTTAAAAAGTTTATTTTGTTCCATATTCGCTAAAAAAAAAGAGGAATGAAAAGAAACTTTATCAGAAAGTTTTTAGAATGAATTTTTTATCACATAATTATTCACTAGATTTTTCGAAACGAACTTTCAAACATTTTGTTCACTAATAATAATAAATCACTAATTTTTAAACACGTCATTTTTCATTCACTGAATAATTGAACGTATTCGAATATTTTTTGCTACATTATTCAAAAGCGACGGAAGTTATTTTTAATCGAATTAATATAATATTTCACATCACTTATTATTCACTGAATCTTATACAAATTTTGGAAAATTCATGTAATTCTTGATTACAATTTCTTGAAATAAAAAATGAATGAAAAAAAATTTTTGAACAAAAAATCTATTCATTGAAATGAAAAGTTGTTCTTGTCTGAATTAAGCTCAAATTGAACAAAAAAAAAAAAACAGATAATAGAAATTACCCATTAAATTAAGAAACTAAATATGTTCACTATAGAATTCACGAAAGAAAACAAAAATCACTTTAAAATTCTCTGAATTAAGAAAGTAAAATATTTTTAAAACAAAAAGTGAGAAAACGGGTTATTTATTCATTCAACTTTTTTTTGTTAAATCATTAGTTAAATTTAAATATTCTCTGAAACATTAAACACAAAGACAAAAAATTTCCACTACGTGTATATTGGAAATTCATTCAAGAATGATAAATTCCTTTACAATCACAAATTCAAAATAAAATAAATAAATAAATGAAAAACTGAAAAAACAAGAAAAGACAACCAAAAAAATAGAAAACAAAGAGACTGAAAAGAATTCAAAAATTAATGAAATAAATGAAAAAATGAAAAAATAAGAAAAGACAATTAAAAAAATATAAAATATAGAGACTGAAAAGAATTAAAAAATTAACGAGGTGAATTAATTTTTAAATACATACATATAACTATTTATATCTCATTTCCAATAAAATTCAGACAATATGAATTAATAAATAGTTTCATTTTCATTTCCAAGTATAATGTAGTCTAGAAAAACAATGTTTTTAATAATAATAATAATATAATAAAAAAGGTAATCGATTAATTGAATCAAGTAAATTTTTTTCAGAGTATTTTTTCTATTATCTAAAATTTTAACTGAAATTCATTTTTAAATCAATTTTTATTAGAAAATTCTACTAAAATTCAATTATTTAAATACAAAAATAAACAATTTATTGAATATTTGAATGTTTCTTAAAATTCAATTCCCATAAAAAATTTTATAAAAAAATTTCTAAATAATTGAATCCTTAAGAAAAATTTTATTATTTTTAAACAATATTTAATTTTTGCAAATAATATTATTACTCTTGAAAATTATTTGAATTTCTGCAATAATTTGTAACTTTTCCAAAATTAAATTTTTTGTTGTGTTTTTGACTAAAAATTCGCACTCTAATGCTTATAATATTCAAGTATAATCTAAAATTTTAAGTAAAAGTCATTTTTAAATCAATTTTTATTAGAAAATTCTACGAGAATTAATTTATCTAAATTAATAAATAAATAATTTATTGAACAATTGAATGCATTTTAAAATTGAATTCTCATAAAGAATTTTGAACAAATTTTTAAATAATTGAATTCTTTTGATGAATTTTAATAAAATTTTGAAGAATAAATATATTTTTCGAGGAATTCGATTAAAATCGTATTTATTAGAAAATAATTCTACTAGAATTCAATTATTTAAATACAAAAAAACAATTTATTGAATATATGCATGTTTCTTAAAATTGAATTCTCGTAAAGAATTTTATCAATAAATTTTTAAATAATTGAATTCTTTTGGAAAATTTTATTAAAATAGTAGATATTGAAAATCATTGAATTCAGAAAATTTTTTGAAAATAATTGAACTTAGTAGAAGAATTTAGTTATTTTTAAAGATAATTGAAATATTGACGAGAATTTAAAAACAATTTTGAACTTAATTGAATTTTTGCTGAAAAAACTTTTATTAAGAATTTTGTAAATAAACCAATTCTTATTTGAAGAAAATAATTATAATTGTATGAAAATTAAATGAATGATTATTAAAAAATTTTATCAGAATTATTTTAAAAAGTTTGATTTATCTTTCAGAGAATTTTATAAAATTTTTCTTTTTTAAATAATTCACTTCTTTCAAACAATTTTTTGAAAATTGTATTTCAAACAATTGAATTTCTGTGAAAACTTTATTATTTATTATGAAAATAATTTAATTATTGCGAAGAATTTTACAAAAAAAATTGTAAATAATTGAATCCCTGTGAAATTTTTATTATTTAATGAAAATAATTAAAGGTTTGCGTAGAATTTTATTAAATTTTTTTTTAATAATTGAATTATTTTGGAAAATTTTTTTAAAATAGTAGATATTAAAAATCATTGAATACAGGAAAATTTTTGAAAATAATTAACATTTTGCCAAGAATTTCATTAAAGTTTTTGAAAATAATTGAACTTAATAGAAAAATTTAATTATTTCTAAAGATAATTGAAATTTTGACGAGAATTTTTTTTAATATTTGTAAATAATTGAATTTCAACAAGGAATTTTATACTTTTGTGAATAATTGAATTTCTCCAATCATTTATAATTTCTCTAAAATTTTCCAAATTATATTCGACAATTTACGAACTTTTCTTGTTTTCTCAATTAAATTATGGACTTTAAGTATCTTTTTTTAAAAGAATTGACTTTTACGGACTTTAAGCAAATTTACGGACCTATACGGGATTTACGGACCTACTTCGAGCCCTGCCTAGTATCCGTTGCGATGGTGATAATTTCCATAGCAACCGTTACTATGTTAATGGTTATCATATGCCAACTGTTACTATGATAATGGTTATCACATCAAAATTATAATAAATAAATTATTATAATTATAATAAATAAATTATTATTTCTAATTTTTTAAATTTTCAGTTCTTATAAAAAAATCCTAAAAAATCCCAGCAAATTTTTAGAAATATCCGTGGAGATTAAGATTGGTTTTATTATTTACTCATTTTTTATTCTTTTAGGCTACGAAACACTAAGATTGCTTCTCTTACTGATTTTTTGAAATAGTTGAATTTTTAAGGAACTTTCGCAAGAAATATTAAAAATAATTGAATTAAAGTTTTTAGTTTAAATTTCTCGAAAATAATTGAATTGAAATCTTGAAAATAATTTTTGAGAGTTTTTCTTTTTTGAGGGGGAATTTTTTTTTATGAAAAAAGTGGTCACACTGTAATGGTTTAATTTTAACGTTATCGATATGATTTGTACACTGGAAAAAAAAATTCTTAATTTAAGAATATATACTAAAAAAAGGTGTCCAGGATATTCCTCACTTAAATTAAGTGGGAAATATTCTTACTATAAGAATATATTCTCATTGTAAGAATATTTACACTTAATTTAAGTGGGGAATATCCTGGGCACATTTTTTATAGTACATATTCTTAACCCTAGAAGGAGTACGTTAATTTCTCACCCTCTAAGGAGTAATTGGGGTGTCCCGACACCCCACGCTTTAAACTTTTTTTATAAGGTTTATATTTGACGTAAAAAAATTAATTATAATGAATTGATTGGTTTTTTAGTAAGGAATACAATAATATTATTCATATTTTGATAAATTTAAAAAATTTTGAAAAAAACTATAAAAACCCAAAAAACACCAAAAAATTGCAAAATTGACTTTTTTCACAAAAAACGTTGTAGTTTCTTAAAAATTTGACTAATTTAAAAACTATTTTAGGTTTTTAAAGTTAAATAGATACACTTTTAGGGGAAAAAATTAGTTTTTGTATTACTTCCAAAAAACATAATTATTTGAACATCTGAAGTGAAAGAAATTAAAGACAATTGACGAATAGTGAAAATCATAAAAATGAACTATAAAATGGACTTAAACAATTAATATTTACTAAAAATGGTGTTATAAATTAAAAATTTTGCAAACTTAATATATCTGAATATATTAACATTAAAATTAATAACTTATGAAATGATTTTGTAAATTAATATTTAATCAAAGTTTTAATTAACAATTCTTAATACCTCTAATATATGTTAAAATATTATTAACAATATAGAATTTATAATTTAAATTTGACTGTCATATACTACATTTTTCTGTATTAGAATTTAATTTCTGACTGTAGAGAGAGCACAGAAATGTTTAATAAATCTTCACTCAAATTTCATAAGTTGTTACAAATACAGAATGTCTATTTTTCATAAAAATAGAATTTTTGTATAAAAATGTTCCTTTTTTATAAAATACAACTTTTTCATGCATAACCTATCAATTTATACTTTATCAGATGATTTGAACTGATTAAAAACGATTTTTTAAAAAAATTCGAATTTACTTATCTTGACAATTTTTCTAACGTTAGGGAGCAACTGGGGTGTCCAGACACCCCAGACGTATTTTAACAGGAGATAAGAGCTCTTCCTAGAGCAAAACTTTTGGCGGCACATACAGGTGTCAAAAGATAGAGGTTCAAACTAAATTATTAACGGGTTTTGAGCGTAAAAAAATTATTGGTTAAGCTTTGGAAATACTTTGAATTTTGCTTGGGGTGTCCAGACACCTCAGTTACACTGTAAAAAGAAAGGTACTAATTTAGTACCAAAATTGGTACTAAATCGTAATTTGGTTCTATTTTAGTACCGAAATCAGCTCTAATTTAGAACTTTTTTTTATAGTGTACTCCTTCTAGGGTTAAATTAAGAATATTTTTTTTTCAGTGTACTATCAGTATCGAAATGTTTCAATTTAAGAAAATCTAATGACTATGCAGAAAAAAGGATAATCTAATTTTAAGAAGCGCCTACTTAAATAGGAGCCAAGAATATTCCCTACTTAAATTAAGTGGGAATACTTACAATAACAACATCAATCTTATTGTAAGAATATTTCCTACTTAATTTATGTGGGGCCACTTAATTTAAGTAGAGAATATTTTTGGCTCCTATTTAAGTATGCGCTTCTTAAAATTATATTAAAACCGTTTTTTCTGTGATAGAAAACTAATTTCCCATTAAAAACTATTTGTCTATTATAAACTTTGAACGCATTATATACACGAATAGGTTAAAAGTGGGAGTAGGGTAAAGTCTCTCCCTCGTAAGTTAGCATCCGGTTCCTGGGTTCCGAAATGCCGGAAACAGCAACGCGGCATTGTTGTCTAAAGTCGACGCGTCGGACTTTACTGCTTCGTATAACCTAGTGTATAGTGTGTTTACGTTAGGGGCACCTACCAGCAGTATACTCGGAGGTAGTTTTGTGAAGCTGCGGAGTTGTTGTAGTCATACTACTGCCTGTTGTTGATGTGATGCTGCTGCTATTGGTGGTGGTGGTGGTGGTACTACTGCCGCTTGTTGTAGTAGTGGTGGTGGTGGTGGTACTTCCATAGGCAGTGGGACGATATTGGGGCGGTAGCGGGGGGCAAATTGGTCCCTTGTCCTCGCTCTCCTCCACTGAAACCTGCCAAATATGGAGCGCGTTATCGTTAATGCATGTGACATTTATGTGCACACCCTAGCGTGTTATAGAGCAGATCACGCGGGCCAAAATGGAACACAGGTCGACCGCGCATTCACAGTCGATGAATGCAGTGAGCGACCTGCTTCATATTAACAGCCTCTGATACGATAAACGTTCTCACATTTGCTACATGTTTCATATATATACATATATATATATACCATATGTATATTCTTTTCCCGGAATTCAATGTCCATCTGAAGCCAATAACAGTTGCAAAATTGCAAACCGTATAGGTACCCAATATTAAATTTTTCAATCCCAATTTTTTTCGATTTTTACAAATCCCCCCTCTTTTTTTCCACTGCAAATACAAAGTCTTAAAGTTCTAACAGCTCAAACATGTTTTTTGTTTCAACTCATTTTAGGGCTCAAAATAAAAAAAAGACAATTTTAGGTCTTAACCCTTTTAGGACCAAATTTTTTCTTAAAAAATCGCGATCTTTGATTTTTAAGCAAACTTTTTAGGAAAAGTTTTTGAAGAATTTTTTATTTGAAGACCAGTATCTGTCATACGAAATTTTTCAGACTATGTGAAAATTATTGTTTCAATATTCAGTTTTGAAAATTAAGAAATTTATGCACGAGTTAGTAAAAAAATGTTCATGTTGCCTGAAGGCAACACTGGTCCTTAAAGGGTTAAAATCAGTTTTCTAATCAGAAATTTAGTCAATATTAAAAAATTTGTAAATAATTGAAATTTTGTGAAATTAAATTAAAAATAAATGATTTTCAAAAGCATTTCTTCAAAATTTTTTAAAAATTCAATTCTCATGAATTTGAATTGCAAAATTTAAGAATTATTTTTGAATAGTTTACAAAAATTCTTTTTTAAAATTTAATTATTTTTATAAAATTTTACTTAATTTCTATTATGTTATTTTTTAAATAAAAAAAGAATCCTTTATTTTTCTTTGTGAGGTATCACACATTTTTGAACTGTATAAATAAAAAGTTTTTGAAAAATTTTAAATTTTGTTAATTTTTTTATTAAAATGAATTGATTTTCTTAAAATATTTGACTAAAAATTTTTGAAAATCAATTTTTAATTAAGAATTTTAAGGGGTCGTTCACAAACTACGTCACACTCCTAGGGGTGGGGGGGTGTCCAGCTGTGTGTGACGAAGTGTGGAAAAAAATTTTTTTTGTATGTAAAAAATGTGACGAAGGGGGGGGGGGTAAAAATCAGTCCAAAAAAGCGTGACGTAGTTTGTGAATGACCCCTAAGGGCCTTTGAACCATTTTGACGTCACGGTTTTAGAACACATGCTTTGCACAAATTGTGACGTCATAATGGTTCAAATGCCCTTAATTGCAAATTTTGAAAATAATTGAATTCTTAAAAATTAAAATTAAAAATATTCAGATGAAAATTTGATTAAAAAATTATATTGAAATATTTTTTAAGAATTAATTTAAGAATTAATTTAAGAATTAATTTAAAAATTAATTTATTAAAAATTAAAAATACTTTTTAAAAGTAATTCTTAGAATTAGTAAAAATACTTACCAATTTGAATTACTGACTGACTTTTTGCTTTTGAATTAGTAAATTTTATTAATAAATTAGGGAACTTTCACAAATTATGTCACGTTTTTGGGGGTAGGGGGAGGGTCTCTACTAAAATCTCGAAAAATTGCGTGACATCATTTATTTAATAACTATTTATTTGTAAAAGTTACTAACGTTACTAATAAATTAGTAAAATTTACTAACTTTACTAATAAATTAGTAAAATTTACTAACTTTACTAATAAATTAGTCAAATTTACTAAATTTACTAATAAAGTAGTAAAAGTTTCTAACTTTACTAATAGCTTAGTAAAAGTTACTATTTATTAGTAAAATTTACTAATTCAAATGCTTTATTCAAGAGAGTACTTACTTACTAACCAAATGACTTACTTTTTTACATACTTTACACTTACTAAACCCTTATAATCATTAAAACGAGTTAAATGAGTAAAATAAGGTTAAAATGTTTATGTTTAAGGGTTAAAAGGTTAAAGATTTTAAATGCAAAAGGGTTAAAAGTTAAAAAAGTTGATAAATAAAGGGTTAAGTCTAAATTATAAACCACTGGCAAGAGGAAATACACCAAATGCACTCTAGATTTTGTCACCAGACAAAATTGACTCGTCAAGTGACTCATTTCCAGGGGATGGAAATTGAAAGATAAAGTAGGTTTAACAGTGTGAAAAGGGTAATGTGTTTCATGGAACAAGAGTTGGAGGATCTAAAATGTTAGGAAGCTCCCTGACTATGAATGCATTCAACATTTATTTTCCCCCAGCAGCACACACACACACATACACAAACGTAAGCACACATTTTACAATGTTGAAAGCGCGTTCTCTATATTACAAGATTCGTAACACCCTTCTACTTTCATCTAATGTAGCATAAAATACAAGAGATCCGTAAAACAGGAGCTTTATTGGTAACATGGTAGGTCCCCCTTATCTTTGCGACACTTTAGCGGTTTATCGCTTTCCTCGAGTGAAGTGGAGCACATCCCACGCCTCGCCGGAGATCGACCGACACTGAACATCAGGAAATTAACAGTTTCATAACAAACAATTTACACGTGATAAGAGAACCACCCAGCACATACCTTCATGATTATATATACATACACACACAGAGTCAAGATGGGCTTGCAAAACCGGTTATAATATCCATCGATTTTTCAACACCCACTAAACCCTCAAGGGAATAAGAGAATGTTAATTTCCGTTTAGGGTGCCTTTTCGAGTGCCCGGAGCCTCGTTTGAGATGCTGCAGCTCGTTTAGATAAGATAACCACTTAGCCATCAGGATTCAACTCGAATCTTATCTCCCGAGGTTATTCTCCACTAAGTTTGCTTCCTTTGGTTCTTCGTTTTTTTCACGGTTTTTTTTTTTTTATTTTTACTTTATATGCTTTTAGATTTCTTTCAAGATTTTGTTACTTTGGTCACTTTTTTTCCTTTTCGTTTAAAGAAAAGTTTTGTAGATGAAATTTTCTTTTTTTGATAAAGTGGAATAAAAGCCTTGGAGAGAGAGAGAGAGAGGGAAGGGGGGTTAATTAAAAAAAATTTATTTAGACAAATTAAATTAATTATAAAATAATAAAATCTGCAGTCAATTTAAATTAATTTAAATAAAAATAAAACTAATTTCATTCTTAAGTAGATACATTTTTGTTTTTGATAAAGTGGAACAACTTTCGTTCCACCACTACGGGGGAGGGGGGATAATTAAAATATTAATTTAGATCAAATAATTAAAATTAATATTAAAATTATTGAAGTCGACGGTCAATTTAATTATTTTAAATAAAAATAAATCTAATCTAAATATTAATTAGATCAATTTTTTTTATAAAGTGGAACGAAAGTCTTAAACTTTGGGAAAAGAGGGGGGGGGGTTTAATTAAAACTATTTATTTAGATAAATTAAATTAATTTACTAATAAAATAATGAAGTTTGTAATGAATTTAATTAATTTAAATAAAAATAAAATTCATTAAAATTTTAATTAGAAGAATTTTTTTCGATAAACTAAGTCTTAGGCTTTGGGGAGAGAGGGGGGGGATAATTAAAAATATTAATATTGAAGTACGTCGAATAAATTCGCAATTGCCGAATAAATAACTAAGTAGGTAGTTTTAGTTTTTAATAATTTTTTTCATATTTTTCAAAAATAGTTTTTAAAAACTAGTTTAAAAAATAATTTACAAAAATAATTAATAAAAAATAATTTATAAAACAATAGTTTTTGGACTGTAATGGCCAGTCTGTATGTGTCGACGTTTGTATGACAAATACTTGGTAGCTCCACTTGGAGCAGTTTGCCTATATATTCGCTTATACTACTTAGAGACAGTGGCTGACATAAATGTGGTTATACTACTTAGCCGTCTACCTTCACTCGACAGATTTAATATTGACTCTACTACTTTGAATCGAAAATTGACACTACTCTTCACTAAATTATTAATAAATGTAATTTTTAAAAAAAAATAATAAACGTAATTTTTTCTTCCTATTTCGAGTAGTGAGCTTTTTTCAAAATTGAATTTTATTACTAGAAAATTAGAGTATTTTTTGAAAAATAAAATTGAGGCTATAAGAAAGTAATTAAAAAACTGGTAAAATAAAAAGAGTAGAAAATTATTCTTTTTGATTCTGAATTTCTATATATAGAAATAAAAATGTAGAAATCTAAAAATTTTCATGTAGAAATTCCTTATTTTCTTAAGTAGAAAAAAAATGTTAAAAGTCAGAACAAAATGGTAGAAAATTAGAACAACGAAGTAAAATAGTAGAAATAAAAATGTAGAAAAATGAATAAAAACGAAAAAAATTATTTTTTTGTTTCTAATGATTTTAATTAGAAATAAACAAGTAAAAAAATAAAAGTACAAAAGTAGAAAATTTCAAACAAAAAGATAAAAAATCGGAAAAAAAAGTTAAAAACAAAAAATAGAAAATTGAAATTAGAAAATTAGAAATAAATAATAAAATAGTAGAAATAAAAATGTAGAAAATTTATAAATACGGAAATTTTTAATCTTCATAATCAGAATTTTAAAAAAAAGTAGAAAAGTAAAAGTAAGAAAATAGAAAATCAAAAGCAAAACAATAAAAAAGTAAAAATAGAAAATTAAAAACAAAAAAATGAAAACGAAAAAGTAGAAATAAAAAATTAGAAATCTAAAAATTTTAATGTAGAAAATTAGAAACAAAGAAAAAAAATAATTTTTTCTTTCTGAATTTTTTTAAGTAGAAATAAAAATGTAGAAAGTCAGAACAGAAACGTAGAAAATTCGAAACAACAAAGTAAAATAGTAGAAATAAAAATGTTGAAAATTAATAAAAACAAAAATTTTTAATCTTCTTAATTATAATTTTAAAAAAGTAGAAAAGTAAAAGTAAGAAAATAGAAAATCAAAA